CTGCATCCTGGCGCCCCCGGCCGCCGTCATGCCCCGGGTAGTGCTGCCCACGCTCCTGCTGCCGCTGCTGGGCCTCTCCACGGCCACTGTCGCGGGTAAGCTGCCCTGACCTGGGAGCCAGGACCCAGAGCTACTTCTTCCACCCCTGCCCAGTGCACTCTCCAGTCCTTGCGGCCTGGGCGGCTCAGAGAGGCTGCACCCGGGCCGGACCTCTCGCCCTTCCCAGCTCGCCTACTCCGTGCGCCCCAGGATCTGACCATCCTGCCTCTGTTCAGTGGGATCCGAGACAGCGCCCGGGCGTGTGGCGAGAACAAGAGGACCCCTCTATCTCGATGTCCACTTCCTAAGCCTAGACCCCACTCCGCAGACAAGGACCCCTAAACGGGGCTGATTGGCCATGAGCAGAGAACTCACGGTGCCACGATGAGTGTAATTTGAGGGGTGCCTGGGGCTGAGAAGAGAAGCCGGTGGGGTCACAGGCAGCTGTTGCGTAGCCAGGATGAGGGGTGCAGGGAAGGGTGAGAGGCGGAGGGAGGAAGCAACCCCCTCTTTTGCAAGCATTGCTGTTTGTCCAGTTGGTTGGTGTTCAAGCTGTTGAAACAGGAAGTTCAGCCAAATAACCCTGGATCAAAAAGGGATGTGAACAGGCAAAGCTTGAGTTCCCTTTAACTGTGTGATTTAAAAAATCTTTGGTCGGCTCTTGTGCAAGTGACATCTGAAAGATTACACATGGTTAGTCATTTTCAAAATGAGCCCTGAGGAAAATAGACAATTTCACTGAACATGTGTTTTTTTCTTCAAACAGCTTCTCCACATAGGCGTGTCAAAAATATGTTGATGGGGAAACTCTGGGGAAGATATCCATCCAAAAACATTATTCTTTGAACAATTCCAGGAATTAAAGAGCAAAATAAATAATAACTGAATGAATAGTTGTGTGGGCTTAAAGAAAAGGTTTCACTGCATTTTTATTATAAGTTCTTATTTCAAACCTACTTACAGACAAGCAAATTTTAAAGGCCCTCAGTGCTCGAAGTGACAGCTGAGCAAGCAGCTGAGAGCTTGCTTACAAACCCAGAGCTAGTTCCCTGAAAGCATTTGTGGACCAGCATTTATGACCAGTTATGAAGTTCTCTGACACTAGACAAGCAGAAGCAAGGTGTGGGGATTTTCACACTGTTCAGACTGGACGTCAGTTTTGTCCAAGTCAAGCTGGACTAGAGATTCTGTGTCTGAGTCTTCCTCATACACCACCTCACCATTTAACTTATCCTCTGCCATGCCATACATTTGTACTTTAGTGTAGTAAAAAAATTAAAATAACATAGTACACACACACACACACACACACACTTGGAAAATTTTAACAGAGAATCAGTTTCTAAATTTTTTTTATCTCTTCTTCAGAGAAACTGTTTTAACTGTCATTAGTGGTAAACTTTTCTCTAGCAAGTTTCATTCTTTTCCTTCTAAAGACCAGTGTGTATAAAAGGGCTTTTCAAGAGTTTTAGAAGTGCAGAATGAATTCATGCTGTTAATCAGCTTCCCTCAGTCAGGAAGTTTTAAAGATTAATTTGAAAAGAGCATGAGATTTGCCTTTGCCAGTTACCCAACTTTTCTGCACTTCCACACCATGGAGATATTACGAAGGGCTCTTGTGTGCACTGAGAACTAGTTCTTGTTACAGGCACAGTAAAACTTTGTTTCCTTCCCTTTGCTCCCCTCACAAAATGAAGGGTAATTATTGTGAATAGAAAACATCATTTAAGTACCACTCTGTGTTGGGTATTTATGGTTACTGAGCACATTCTTTTACATGATGGTGTGCTTTATATGTTTTTTATCACAGTACTTCCCACAAATCTTTCCAGACAAAAGCAATGATTTTATGTTCTTAATTAAATTAAAAATCACAATGGATAAAATAGTCTTTGAATTTCTGAGTAAAGTTCTGTCTTAGTCAATTTTCTCATTACTAAGACACAACACCTAACACCCAAATTTAAAGGAAGAAAGGTTTATATTGGATCACATTTCAGAAGTTTCAGGCCATGCACGGTCCATGGTATAGGAGAAGGGCAGAGTGGAGGGAAAACTGCCCAGGTCATGTCAACCAAGAAACAGGACAGAGAAGGAGGGAAGCTGGGAGAGATACTGTACATATTTCCAGGTCAGGCCCCGGCAACCTGCCTCCTTGGACTAGGTCCCACCTCCTAACAGCAAATTAGTTACAGTGCCCCCCTGGTCCAGTTCTCTTACAAATGCCCTGCCAGTGAACTATTGAGTCTTTTGGAGGACATCTAGCTATAAACCATAACATCCTTTAAAAATTTTATTCTGTAATGTTACGTTTTTCACACAGTTGATGATCAATATGTTCATTGGGTCAGTGCCTTTCTATGAGAGGTATAGGATGAGGGAATATAAGGATGTTTAGTGCTAAGTCCTCATTCTGTGCTCATAAGGTGGTTGAGAATCTAGGTTTTCAAATTTGAATTGCTATAACCTACAGTCCTTAGATGAGGTGCCTCTGCCTTCTTCCCTAATGTCATGTCTTACTGTTATGGCTCATATACATACATACATATATATATATATATATGTGTGTGTGTGTGTGTGTGTGTGTGTGTGTGTGTGTGTGTGTGTGTGCGTGTGTGTGCGTGTGTGTGTGTGTGTCCCAAAGCCTCATAAATTTATAGGTGGAGCTTTTGGGAGGTGGCTGGATCAAGGGTATGTGGCAACTGGATTAATCCATTGTTTGGTTTAGCACAGTTCTGGGGGTGGATGATGGGAAGGTCCAGCATGAGTGTGAGTGGTATCAACCAATAGGCTTGTAGCCTGAATGGAATAAAAAAAAGGAAAGGGAGACCCACTGCTTGCTGCCTCCAGCCTGATACACCATAAACTGTTTCTCTTCTACCATGCCCCTCTTGCATGCTGCCCTACCTTGGAACCAGTTGACTATGGGCTGAAACCTCTACAAACTATGAGCTAAATTAAACCTTTCCTCCTTTAACTTGTGGGTGTCAGGTATTTTGTCTGAGCAATGAGAAAATACCTGAGATGTTTATCCTAAAGTTATTTCTTACTCACCTTTTGGGAACTCGTAACACCTTTAATTCTTCTGCAAAGAATGCCTCCCACCAGTCCATTCAGATCTCTGTTTATATTCCACCTATTTAGGCCCTGCCCGAAACACCTTGCTCTCTCCATCACATCTCCAAGTTTTATCTCCATCAAAGTACTTATGAGTACATTTTGCTTATTTATTTGTCTTCTTCCTTAATGTTTATCTTACCAAATGAAGCTCCATCACAGCAGGTATTTTAGTGTTTTGTGCATTGTTGTTTTGTCTCTATATTTTGTCTTGTAATAAAAGAATAAAAAATTAGAATGCTTCAGAAAGTAGAAAGGATAATGAGGTAGCACTTTTTTCAAATTATGTTACTCTATACTATGAACTCATTCATAACTCAAAGTATTCAATCCTCTTAACTTATTGATACAACTTTTTTCTGACCCTTGTAGATAGTATAGTTTGATCAGGGGAGATTAGCTCATACTAAATATTAGAATTTTTTTTAAGTTTTGAAATGTTAATTTTTCTTTCCATGAAAAAGTAAAATTACCATCAGGTGGTTTTTTGTTTGTTTGTTTGTTTTTGGTACCAGAGACCGAACTCAGGTCCTTGCACTTTTGAGGCAGGCAGTGGAACCACTGAGAAAAATCCCCAGCCCTATCAAGTGTTATTTTAAGACTTCCTTCATTGTTAAGAAACTTTTAAAGATTTGATTATGGAATCTGAAGACTGAAAATCAATTTTGAACAAGGTTATCGTACCCAATTTTCCATTGTACATGTCAAATATTTCATTGCTTTTGCATGTTCTCTAAGATTTTTTTTCTTGATACTGGGGATCGAATTTGGGTCCTTATGCTTGTGAGGCAGGCAGCAGAACCACTGAGCTAAATCCCCAGCCTGGTTTTCCTAAATTTTGAGGACAGACCAGGAGACAGAATCTGTAGGAGAGTGAACCATTGATGCCCAGTGAGAAAGGTGCGTGCAGGTGAATGCTGGTGCACAGTTTCTATGAACAATACCCAATATCATGACAGCTCTTCTAAGAAGAGAGGGAAGGAGATAGAGGGGGACATCTTGGAAGATAGGTTGGGAAGGGAGATGTGGAAAAGGGATAGGGTTGTGCAACCCTGGTGGAAATCAATATGGAGATACCTCAAAAAACTAGGATTAGAAGTTCCATTTGACCCAGCTAACCCTCTGCTGGGTATCTTCACAAAACAACTAAAAGAATCGTGCCACAGTGACATACGTGCACCCATGTTTATAGCAGCACAGTTCATAGTAGCTAAAACTTGGAAACAACCCAAAATGCCCATCAGCTGAAGACTGCATAAAGATGTGGTTTTACTATAAAATGGAGCACTACTCAGCCATAAAGAATGAGAAACTAGAAACATTTGTAACTAACTGGATGCACATCGGGGCTATACTCTTAAGTGAAATAAATAGGACACACTTGAGTAAATACCGAATAGTTTCTTTGGTGTGGAAAACTAAAAGTGTAGATAAGGTTCAAATGGTATAATTGGGAGTATGAAATAGGAAGAAAATGCCTAAAGGGGAAGTGGGAAGGGGAGGGGAAAAGTAATAAAGGAAAAGAAAAAAATGTGAAAAAAATGGAAACAAAGTCTTTGTAAATAGGGAAGGGTGAAGGGGGTGAAGGGAGGGCAGGGGTATGGGGAAAAAACAAGAATCAAGGTATCATGTAAAGGCACAAGATCCCAATGATAAATGTAACTGTATTGTTTGCTTTAAATGTATGAATAAGCTTAATGGAAAAAAAAATAAAGAAGGGATAGGGTGTCAGAGTAGCTCCATTGCCTGGAGATCTTGAAGCAGCCCAGAGCACAACCACAGAAACTCTGAATTAGTCAGGTACTTGGAATAGCCGCTCCGTCCTCCATTTATAATAAACAAAATAGCCCTTACCTCATTCTTGCCAAAGTTACCCTTGTGAAATGTAAGTGACTGCAAATCCTATCTCTATGGGAGAGGAGCAAAGGTCTTTTTAGTG